TGGCAAAGACACTGCATTAAAAATGTAAATGAAGTATATTCAGACGGGTAAATGTGGTAACTAGTGTCCTTTCAGTGACTTTACAGTGACTCATTCTAGACTTTCAAAAAACACATCACTAACATCACACACCACTATTGATAAGAGTAAAAAAACGTTTCCTGTAATTTGAAAAGATGGAAACAATTTCTTTACTCAATAGTCAGTACTTGGAAAAGTTATTAAACAGAGGTCATAGAAAGGCTTCATTCTAACGAAATTGTGCTAAAAGTTTAAACTGTGGGGGAGATTACTAGCACAATCATGGATTTCCTTTACAGTTGTTCTCAAAGCAGCTTTGACATGGTTAGAGATAGGTTAAATGTGACAAAATTCTCTGAATCTGCCAGGAAACACAGCAAGAGGAAGTGATGTTGCTGCCTGACCAGATCAATTTAACAGAAAGAAGAATGAATTCTTATGGATATTTCTTTTTTGGAGAAAATATGGCTGAGGGGAGACCTCATTGTTCTCTACATCTACCTGAAAGAAGGATGTAGCAAGTTGGGGTCAGTCTCTTCTCCCAGGTAGTAAGTAAAAAGACAAGAGGAAATGGCCTCAAGTTGCATCAGGGGAGGTTTAGATTGGATATTAGGGAAAAAGATTTTCATGGAAAGGGCTGTCAAGAATTGGAGCAGGCTGCCCAGGGAAGTAGCCGAGTCACCATCCCTGTAGATATTTAAAAGACATGTAGTTTAGTGGTTGACTTGGCAGAGCTGCATTAACATTTGGACTCCATGATCTTAGAAGTCATTTCCTACCTAAAAGATTCTATAATAAAGCTTCTCCCCAGTGTGGAGATACAAAAACTAGCAGCCCAGCCATCCAAAAACTCATCCTTCATCTGTTCATAAATTGTTCAAATGTCCTGTTCAAAGTCCAGAAGCCTGTTAAATACTTCCAAGTCATGTTAGGGAAGGGATGCCAACCATGGACAAGTTTGAGAAGTGGGCCCCCTCAACAAAGCAAAGTACAAGGTACTACAGCTGGGTCAGAGCAAACTCCCTGTATCAATACAGGCTAGGGGATGAATGGACCAGGAGCAGCCCTGCAAGAAGGACTCAGGGGTGCTGGTGCTTCAGAGGCTGGACATGAGCCAGGAATGTGCATTTGCAGCCCAGAAAGCCAACTGTGTCCTGGGCTGCATCCAAAGCAGTGCGGCCAGCAGGTGGAGGGAAGTGATTCTGCCCCTCTGCTCCACTCTTGTGACACCCCACCTGGGGTATTGTGTCCAGGTCTGGAGTCCCCAGCACTGGAAGTATATCGACCTGGCGCAGCAAGTCCAGAGGAGGCCATGAAGATGACCACAGGGCTGGAGCACCACTCCTATGAAGACAGGCTGAGAGAGTGGGGATTGTTTAGCCTGGCAAAGAAAAGGCCCCAGAAAGACCTTATAGCACCTTCCAGAACCTAAAGGGGCCACCAGAGAGCTAGAGAGGGACTTTGTACAAGGTCATATAGTGATAAAACAATGGCTAATGGCTTTAAACTGAAAGCAGGTAGGTTTAGATTGAATATTAGTAGGGAATTCTTCATTATGAGGGTGGTGAGGCAACCTGGTGTAGGAGAATGTGTCCCTGTCCATGGCAGGGAGGTTGGAAGTAGATGATCTTAAAGGTCCCTTCAAATCCAAGCCACTCTATGAATCCATGTTTGCCTGCCAAGGATTTTACAAGCTGAACTGGCAAGTGAGAGAAAAACAGAGACAATAGAGGAGCAAACAAATGCTGACAAAATATACCTTTGTTTACACATGGTTTCAGACTTTTTCTTTGTCGCTTCTGTGCTTAGGTATGTGCAACTAATTTAGACTTCAGTTATACTTAAATTCTCTGCTATTTTTGCTAAGGAATGACGCACAGAATATCCATCATGTACTGGACAACCCATTGCACTTCAATATGCTTACACAGCAGTTTAAAACTCAGCATCATTAACTGAATGCCCAATCGAGATAAGATGAAATAACTTCCCAACATCTTAATGAACTGACAACTTGCTGTAGAATTACATCTACTATTGAAGGACAGAGTTCTATCTCCTTCTCCTTCTCTGTAATTATTACTAACCAAAACTAAGAGCGACCCAGAAACTGTGATTTAAATCTAGCATTTGTGTGCGTAATGTCAGATCAGTTCTTATGTGGGAGTAGTGATACTCTGCATTACAAATTTAACACCAGTGTCTTGCACCTACACCTACAGGAACATTTAAAAGAAAACCACACAATTTAGGTTAAGCATTGCTATGGACCATGTGGACATGGCAACGAATCCCAAGAGCTTCTTAGAGAAGCATCACCCCCTTCAAAAAAAATGGGAAGGTTATGTAGTAGGTTAACTTCCTTCATTTTTATCTGCTTTGAAATAACATGACAAACAGACCTATTTGTGATGCTCTGTGTTAAAAGCACAAGTACTTTAACAGTGACATCTATGCTCCAAGATTGGATAAATGCATTTATGGTATTAAACACTGCATTTCAAGTCATTAAGGCAAGCCCTGAATAAAAAAAGCCCTCTGCTCTCTACATCAGGTCACAGCATCTGCAGCAACAAGCTGAACAGAAGAGAATGGGAGGCAGTTCTTTCTCCAATGAGCAAGTTACACAGATTCTCAATTTCTCTTAAAAAGTGGCCTTTGTTTAACCTCTGTTGTCAATTGCAAGTTTTATAGTTCGCAAGCTTTGCGAGTTCAAGCTTTCCACTCCATTATTACTTTCTTTTGTGCAGGTGTCTTGAAGGCTTTTGAGCATGAGTACCCAAAAAGGAAGTTTTGATCATAAGTTTCATATTTGCTGGCAAAACACACTGGTCAAAAATATCTGCTTAGACTTAAAAAAAATGTATCACAGTCCAATAAAAGCATTTCAAGTTATGTCTACAGTGTCAAAAATAAGTAAATTGACATTAGAGGAACTTATTTCTACTAAATCACATTCATTTTAAATATTATAAAGTTCATCAAAATCTGTATTTCACAACTGAAGAAGTTATCTTTTACATTAGTATAACTGAGATCAATAGTTCACCAAAAAGCCTAACAGGACAAACCTATCTAATCAGAAACATGAACCTCAGCCACAGAATGACTTGATATCCCACACTGTATACAAAGAAAGCACAGCCACTCTCATTTGTGAAGAAATCAAGACTCTTACCAAGAGAATACAGATCAAGGAATCATGAACAGGTGATAATCTGAGAAGACTGGAACTTGAAATACACTTTGGGAGGGAAAAAAAACACCCTAGAATAAGAAGACCATAACTAAAAAAATTGCACCATGCAAAGTAGTAATTGTGAAAAAGAAGAAGAGATGATGTGGACAAACAACTGAACATGAGACAGGGCAATACAATGACAGAACAGGGACAGTGTGATCTTTGGGTGTATTAGCCAGGGTATGAAATAGATTATGTTCTTGCACTTCTTTATGTCTCATGACAATGTATTATAGAAATCTGCATGCAATTCTGGCATCCATAAAACTTAAGCAGAAATATGGAAAGGGAATAAGAGAGAGCTATAAAATAATGGAGCACAGATGATTTGACCAGTCAAACAACAGGAAATCAAGTCAGATGTATTTTCACTAAACAATGAACACCATTCTAATTGTGTGACAGCTGCCAAAGAAACAACAGATCTTTAGGAGATTCACCATTTTGTAAGATCCCAACTACTTTTTGGGAGACCTGTATCAGTCAAATAATGGCAGCAGGATGGCATTTGAAGTCTGTGTGAAAGTAAAAATAATGCAAAATGAGTACTGACTTCCCACCTACAAAATCATTGTTTGAAGTAACCTTTAAACTTCCCCCATCTTATTCTTAGCAAAATGTTAACACGAGTAGAAGACTGACCTAAACTCATCTGCTCTCTTGTTATCTTACTAGATGATAAATGATTCATATGCAATGCTTACTGTACTTATCTAGGTATTTCTAATGTACTGATCACAGCATTATCTAACCATTCTATGATTAAAAGAAATGATTGCTTTATCTTTTAACAAATTTACTGCCTGCTGCACTAGAGGAAATATATGAACGCAAGAATTCTTTGGCATTTATTTGTACGTTCCATGCACAAAGAGATGAAGAAGATGCATTGAGTTGAGAAATCATAGGGAAAAAGGTGTCTTTAACACAATACAACAAAATCATCACCTCAAAGGAAAGAGTTCAGAGGGAAGAAAGACAGTAGCAATAGCAGGTTTTTTAAAAGCAAACTAGAGAGAAACTAGCTTGTAACTTAGGAATAATAACCAAGAAAACCTCTGCAGCAGAATTCAAACAGGACAACAGCGTATAAGTATAGAAAGGTCAGAGTATAATAAGACATGATGATTTCTCCAAGCCAAGAAAATACAAAGAACAGTATTTCTGGTTTTCTCATCAAGGGAACAGTGTGTTCATGGGATAGTGAAAGCTCCAAAAGGAACTGAAAGGGTAAGGACCAACAGAGAGGCCAAAGGATGCATCTTCAGATCCTATGGTGACGTGGTAGCAGCCAGCATTTTTGGTTTCAAGAGTTTTAGAATAAATCCACCAATACTGGTCATAGCAGAAGAGTAAGCACAGGGAAAAGATGGTTGCTGGAATCAAAATGTATGCCTTCTTTTTGGAGAGAGGGTATTTTCAATCTCATTTCTGAATTGTCAAAACATACCAATTACAAGGAAAAAAAGATCAAAACCAGAAGTCAGAGCTAAGAGTGTTGACCTTAGCATGGTACTGGTACAGAAGCAATTATTAACAGCTCCCAAGTATGTGCATAAGATAGATTTAAGACTTTGCTTGTACAGGAGGCACATTCAGCAATTCAGCACTATCCTACCTGACAGAGCAGTGCTTTGTATTCACAGTAGGTTAATAAGGAAAAAGAGTGGAGGAAGGAAAAAAACCCAGGAAGTACAGAAACTAATCAAGTTACACATTTAATGCCATAGGTTGTTACCTGGATTTCTAATTCTGCAATGTGCTGCTGGAGTTCTGCCACAGCTGCGATGCGATCTGCCTCCCGGAGCCGTACTGCCATCACCTCTTCTTTACTCTGAAAGCAGCCACAAATGGAAGCTAACAAATAGCAGTTTCAGCTGATTAAAGACTCTGCACTGCTTTTACCCAAAATCACAAGTAGGGAAAACTTACTACACTGCTGTGCAAACTACCACTATTCTAAAGAACCCAAATTTAATTTTAACCCAGAGAATTGTGCAGTCATCTAATACAAATTCTAATCATATAATAATAAAAAAATCTGTGCTGTTTTGAAAATATTATCAATTTCCTGGTCCAGAAAACAGCTTGTGTTCCAAAATTGTTACATTGTAAAGTAAGAAAAAGTATCAACCTAATAAAAAAAATAAAGCTTATTTCAACTTTTGACTTCAGATATAGAAAGACAGCTACACTAGACTTACTTATTCCATTGTTTCCTCTAAAAGAAAAAAAACTAAAAAATAGAACAAACAGAAAAGCACATATAATCTCAACCTCATTTAGTCCAGCTATCTCAGTCACAGTATACAGAAAAGACAGTTTAGAATAGAATACTAATGCCCATAACCCTCAAGGAGCCTCCCACACTAAGTTGAACCTGTAGGTCTGCCTATAAACGATAGGCAATTTGAGTTTGGACAAGAGACCAGGAAATTTCCTTACTTCTGTTATATGAGGCAAGTCCTCAACACTTCAGAGCACGAAACAATATTATATTGCCAGCAGCTTGGTACAACCACAGACAGAAAGCAATGCTAGATACTGAGTGAGCAACACTGTCAGCTGAAGAGCAAATAACTCTGGGGAAGTGACAGACTAGGCTCAGGTAACATCTACTTTGATGGCAGACTGGTGTAACTAAACTGTTACTGTAAATCAGTTCTGGTATTTCAGTTATTTTAATACATGCTTCAAACACTACTCAACCACCCCTCATTAGAGGGTATGGTTGAGACCAAACTGAACACACCAAAACTTGCATACAGCAGCTACTTGAAAACATGCTATTTGTTGGGTATTTTTCAAAACAGATTCCTGTAATGGAGGTATATCATGTACATGATCCAATTAACAGCATTTATAATCAGTGGAGTCCATTTCAGAGAAATCCATCATATGCTAGCCAGAGTTTAGCCATTCTTGCTAAATTCTGTTGCATGATTGCTCAAATGAAGCCAAACCGACAAGTCCACAGGATTGCATGCATTTAACTGAAAGCTGAGGGACAGACTGGCTCGGCTTGACTTTGGTATCTGAGATGAGTCAATAGTGTTGCTCTAGATGGCACTGATGCTTTATCTCTGAAACAGAACATCTTCTCAATAATTACCACAGAAGTTGGTATGAAAGGAAGGACAAGACTGGGGTGGGAGCACAAATCTTATGCTGTAGATTCTTCAGAAACACTGATTAGAAAGATCAGTGGTGAGTTTCAAGAAACAATTTGAAATTGAGTCCTTAATGTAAAGGCAGCAGTCAGATAAGAAGTGCAAAACCTAACAGTACACACCAGTGACAGAGTATGAGATGCAAATACTTTTGCATTATTTTGCCGTCTGTTACTGTCCCACTTTTCTCTAGCCTATGTTAGAACATAGCTATACAAGCAAATTATCCCAGGGAGAATAGTCATGTATACTAACTCATTAGTCAAAAACATATTACTCTCTTTATAGTCAATATAAAAACTCCAGAACATTGACTACACACTCTCAATGCTCTCTCATAAGGATTAATGAGCACCTTCAGGATCAACAACCAATCAAAAAAAAAGTTATGGGTTATATGTAAAAGGCTCATCACCAAGATCATGACTATGAAAAAAAAAATCAGTATGAATAATCTCAGCATGAAAAAGAGAGCACTTAGGAAACCAGCGATTATGGCAAACAAAGTCAGTAGAAGCAATATCTTCTAGTTAAGATTCAATGTCTTGTTTCCTAAAAGCTTGTGACGGAGTTTGATGAGTCAATAGAAGTTACCTCTTCACCACACTTTAGATTCAGGTTCCACCAGAAACACATGGAACTGGCAAGACAGCAAGAAAAATGAAAACCTAAAATTCTGTTATCTTTTTATTTTATACACACACTTTTCTGAGTACACATTAAAGCAAGTTTTTCTTTGTGGGACCACAGAGAAGCAGCTCTATCAAAACCTCAAGTGATTTTTGTTAGGTGGTAAATTCAAGATGATGTTGTCAAAGTCGGTAAAAAGAGGTTTTAGTTTTATGATTTCCACTTCCCAATTAAGACAACTCTACCCAACACTAGCAGACAAGACTAAAACATAGACATGTGTTAGCACATACGTGATCTATTTGGGATGTCATTTACCTTGCACTCAATCTCTGCTTGTCTGCGTTTTGCTTCATTCAACTGAGCCAGAAGTCCTTTGTTCTGTGCAGAAAGATACTGCACCTTCTCCTGTAGGTTGGTAACCTCTTGCTCTGCCCTTCGTAAATGGTTACTATTGATCTGATTCTGAAATTTATGACCAAAAGAGGAAAGAAATGCATGGT